GTGAAATATATTTATGTTTGTGGTTGTAATGTGACAAAATATGGAAAAGTTCAAGGGGTATGAATACTTTTGCAAACCACTGTATATATATATCCCAAAGATTCTTACAAGTTCTCCTGTGAACAAACTGGTTTTGGATCAAGACACAGCAGTAACTACCAGCTTTCTGAGCTTGTTTGTTATTACTTTCTGCAATGAAAGCAGAGTGGCTGTTACCCAAAAAACATCCCTCTTTGTGTTGCATCTGACCTATAATGTTTCTGTGGCTCAGAAAAAAAAACAGCCTTTACTGCAACCTTCAACAGGATTGATTTATTTTCACATCAGTTTGGAGGCTGGTTCTTGAATCACTTTGAGATGCAACCAGGATCTAGTTCAGCCGTACTTTGTTGCACCAATAATTATACCTCAGTGATATTTGTAATTTTTGACCTCAACAGTTTAAGTTGACATAACTGTTTTTCTCCCTTTAAGACCCCCTTCACATTGGATGACAACCACACTATGATGTGAAAACATCAACCAGAATGTAGATGGTCTTTGCAAGGACTCCATGAGGTCTTCAACCATGGTTTTAGATTCCAGTGAACTCTGGTCCATAGTGGATGATGATGGTGGTTAGTGGTGGTGGTTGATGAAGGTGCTTGATGGTAGTGATTGAAGGTGGTGGTTGATAGTGGTGGTTAGTGCTGGCGGTTAGTGATAGTGGTAGCTGGTGATGGTGGTTAGTGATGGTGGTGGTTAGTGATAGTGGTAATTGGTGATTGATGATGGTGGTTGATGGATGGTCATTGGTGATGGTGGATAGTGATGGTGGTTGATGGATAGTGGTTAGTGATGGTGGTTGATGGATGGTGGTTGGTGATGGTGGTTGATGATGGTTGATGGTGGTGGTTAGTGTTGTTGGTTGGTGATGGTCGTTGGGGATGGTGGTTGGTGATGATGGTTGATGGTTGATGGTGGTTGTTAGTGATTAGTGGTGGTGGTTAGTGGTGATGGTCATTAAAGGTGATGGTGGTTAGTGATGATGGTTGATGGTGATGGTTGATGGTAGTGGTTAGTGATGGTCATTAAAGGTGATGGTTAGTGATGATGGTTGATGGTGATGGTTGATGGTGGTGGTTGTTAGTGATGGTGGTTAGGGGTGGTGGTTAGTGATGGTCATTAAAGGTGATGGTTGGTGATGGTGGTTGATGAAGGTGGTGGCAGTGACATGTGGACTCAAACATATCTTTGGTTGTTAGCATTTAGAAGCAGGACTGGTCATCTGGCCTCATGTACAGATTGTGATAATTATTGTCATGGTCATGAAAACAACCAAGTCCAGAGCTGAGACCAAGCCAAGACCAAGACTTTGAAAGAGGCAACAATGAGTCAAGACCAAACCAATAGAACACCTCTTTCAAACTTCCATCTCCACCTGAGAGATCCTGAGACTTTTTCAGGCCAGAGAAGATACATATTGTAATCCTGTAAGTGTCTTTGATGAATTGATCTAGATGCAACAATCATGTAGATTGACATTTTACATTTTTCTGCTGCCTTAAAGCAAAGCAATAGTTTTAATTGTGGGGTTAATACAAATAGATGTGCATTATATTATCGGTCGAGAGGACATTTTTAAATTTTGTGGCAGCTTCATGGTCTGCACTGTGGTTCTGCCATCCTGAGGCTGTGGGTTCAAGTCCAGGTTGTGTCAAAAAGGGCATCCGGTTAAAATAAAAAACAATGTGTGAGTTCACCCACTGTGGTGACCCCTGCAGACAGGAGCAGCTTGGGATAAATTGACCACAGTTCCATTTCACTGACCTTTAGAAAGGCTCAATACTGAGGCAGTGTGGGGAAAATGTAAAATCACCTCACTGCTGCTAAATTATGACTTTCCAAGCAGTCACTGACTGGCAACTTTTATGATCGGTATACAATAAACGGATGTATTAGTCTACTAGTAAATTATATGTTTTCTATTTTACACAGTGCTTTCATAATAAGTTACCAGTACGCTGTCACAATCAGTGTTTAAAGAACATACAAAGATGAGTCAGAGTCCCTGATTAAAAATAAAAAATACATACTATATTAGATCTTTTTTCCCCCAACTTTTAAGATGATTTATGCCAAATGTGGTGCATCAGTAAAACTCTTGGTAAAATTACCGCCTGTAAAGTTATAGTTTCTCTTTTTCAGTATTCTCATCCTTGCGTGAGTGGGAGCATTAAAAAAAATTTAAAACTTTATTTGATGTATTTGAATACATCCAGCAGTTTTACTCTTAGGTTGTGGCCAAATTCAGAGGCTGAGTCCTTTGAAGAATCTGGTCTGTATGGTCCAGGAAGGCCAGGACCTTGGTCGACCGTGAAGACCGGAAAAAGTGGCTGTAAATTTGAGAGGTCTAGTCTTCTGCTTTATTCCCGCCATTACCCTGGCATAAGTCCTGTCCCCTAGCAACCATGACAACACTAAACAGAAGCAAAAATAGATCAAAATTAGCAAACTATCAATACTTTTCAATGTTTATTTCTCTATACCAGCTTGTTTAATTTTTGACATGAATAATAATAAAAATGTGTGAACAAATAACAAAAGCATTAAAAAACCAACCTCTTAAAACTTTTAATTTTTATATGCTAGATTTTATTTAAAACTGTTCTCCTTTTTCTCATTTTGTCCACCATTATGAGCAGGAAACATATCTCCGGTCGATTCGCAATGCGCAATTGAGATCTGATGGGCTGAGAAGGATCCATCAGACCCATCCTTTAAAGCGGGGAAAAAGGAGGACGTGTTTGTTGGCCGCATCAGAGGAGTCTTCGAATTTGCGGCGCTGTTACATAAGTGGCCGACAAATTCAGCTAGTGATGTTCGAAACTGCCAATTTTTTTGCGATACTGATACCGAGTAAAATTTGCCTGGTATCGGCAATACTGACCCGATACTGATACTTTGTGATAACACACATAACATGGCTGGTAAATCTTAAAAAGTAGCGTTTTTCAAATAACCGCTTTATAAATAAAACATGACATAGTACTATATTTATTAATCTAAAAGTCTTCCTAACCCTAACCCTAACCCTATATTTGTTTAGCACAATTTAAAATTCTTGTTCTAAATAAATATAATAATATTTGAATCGTGAACAAAAGTGAGAAAAAAAGTAGTTGCCTCCAACCACATATGATTTAAACAAGATTTGAACAGCTTAGCTATCTTCTACTATTTTCCTGTTAATGATATACATTATGTAAAATAACTGAAGAATCAAAGTATCCATATTTTGATTTTAGTATCGATTCTAGAGCATAAAGTTCTGGTATCGGTAGTATCGATATTTCACTATCAATCTGCACATCACTAAATTCAGCCTTTGGAGGACACAGCCCCTAAATTTGGACACAGCCTTAGTTAAAGTAAAAGAACATTACTGCTGTTGTAGTCATGATTGGTCTTAACAAAAGACTTCAGAGTTTGAGACAAGATTGAGTTTTGTTCTGAGACGAAGACCTAAAAGTGTGGCCATAATTTAGTTTCAGTTTAGTGCAATTTTAGATTATATTATATTAGATTAGATTAGATTAAACCTTTATTATCATTGTGGGGGTGGGGGGGGGGCAGACCCTCTGTCGACGTAATCATCCAGGAAGAATTTAGTCCACAGCTCAAGGCCATGTAGGGCAGAGCCAAATCTGTAATCAGTAGTTTTGGGAACAGAAGATCCAGGCAGACAATAACAATTTTCCATCTGCCTTCATGTCTGCTGGTACGACCCAAGGTGGTGAATCCAATCAGACAAATAATGTGGACAAATCCTGCTGAGCTAAGCTATCAGCTTTCTCCAAGATCAATTCCATCAGGCCAGCAAAGTCCAGGAACCACAGCCGACCCACAACCCTCAGCCGAACCGCTTGCAGACCAAGTCCAGCTCGCTCAAGGCAAAAGTCCGAGTGCTGAAAGAACAGCAATCCTTCATAATGGTCAGACAGCCAGGAAATGAAGCCACCGACACTGTTTTGCAGAACACCAGGAAATCACCAAGCCAATCTGTAGAATCCAGTGATCGGAATCCAAATATATATCCAGAACAGAGTAGAACAGAGGTCCCACATTTGACATGTCCTCCCATGGAAGCAAAAACTATGTTCCAAAAAAATTTTATTTAGAGACCAGCTAACCAAATTTTAGGGTCTTTTACAGCAATGTGAAGGAATTTTAGCCCACTCGTTTTTTCATAACTGTTTGAATTCAGACACTTTGCAGGGTTTCTGAGCAAGAACTGCCTTTTTAGGTTCATACTCAATCAGATTCAGGTCAGTGCTTTAACCAGGCCACTCCAAAGTTTTCATTTTGTTTCTCTTAATTCATTCAGAAGTGGACCTGCTGGTGTGTTTTGGATCATCGTACTGCTGCAGAACCAAAGTGATCTTCAGTTTGAGGTCACAAACAGATGGCCAAATACTCTCCTTCAGGGTTTTGTGGTAGAAATTCATGGCTCCATTCTCACAGCAAGTCTTCCAGGTCCTGAAGCAGCAAAACAAACCCAGACCATCACACTATCACCAATGCTTTACTGTTGATTTGATGTTCCTTTTCTGAAATGCTGTTAATTCTATGCAACATTTTGGGACATTTCCAAAAAGTTCAAATTTTGTCTCGTCAGTCCACTGACAATTTCCCCAAAAGTCTTGAGGATCATTAAATGCTTTCTGGCAAAACTGAGACGAGCCTTTGTGTTCTCTTTGCTTAGCAGTGCTTTTTGTTTTAGAACTTCTGCCTTCAGGCCATTTTTGCCCTTCATCTCTTTCCCACGATCACGATGGAGTCAGGAACACTGACCTTAACTGAGGCAAATAAGGCCTGCAGTTCTTTGGATGTTGTTGTGGGCCTTTTGTGACCTCTTGGATGGGTTTTCTGTTTGTTGTTTTTGTAACATTTATTCATTTTTAAATATTTACCTTTAGTTACAAGTTGTTTCTCCTTAGAAATGCACTGATATCAGTTAAATCCTTCAGAAACATTTTTTCTGTTGCTGTTCTATTCTATATTATTTTTTTCTGCTACTCTTCGCTTTTAACCAACATTTTACCATTTTTTTCTATTTAGCTTTCAACTTGTGTTGTTCTACCTTCAGCCAGCATTTTTCTACATTTGGTTTTGAGTAAACATTTTACTTTTTTAAGGTTTAGTTTGTGTTTTGTTTCTTTTAGTTTAACAACTCTCAGTGTTTCGTCAGTAAATGCAGTGTCTCTAGTTTCCTAACGTCCTCGTTAGTTTGAGTATGTGAGAACCTGTTGATGTAAGGCTTGACCGTAGTGATCCCAACCACAAAGAACATGAGCACAGAGAAGGCCATCATGGTGAAGCCCAGCAGGACGGCTCGGTCTTCTCCAACACTGGACACCATCTGGGCTCGAGCTCCCTGACCTCCAGGCCCATCTCCTCTGTGGCTCCACTCCTGGTCCTGGGTCACAGCAGTGTGGAAGAGCTCTCTGTGTCTCTCATACACACACACACACACACACACACACACAC